TGGGAAACAGCGAATTTTCTTTCTGCTAGATCAAAGAACTTGGATGTGTGTCATTATGTTTCGTGTTCTGGATCTGGTCTGGTAGTATTTTGTTGACACGACACACATAATTTCCTTATTCTGCCAATGCTTTTGAAACTTATAACATCGTACTATTATATTTCACCACTGCTCTGCAGCAAAATTCGAGTCCGTTCTTTGAAGGAGTCCTAAACTTTTACTCCTATACCACCTTACCCCATACTTATCACCTGTTTGTCTCGAGTGGCTGAAGGCTCATTTAATTATACTTACATGTCAACTCATCATCCCTTATCTATGAATTAGATTAGCAAGTTTTTTAAAACTGAGATCCCTGAATTTTTGTAAATCTTTTAAATATTTTTCCTCATTTTATTATTGTTATTTTTTTATAAACTCAAAATCCGAGAATCCATTCTCACGGACTGGCTTCTTGTAGTTGAAATTACTTTGGTTTTAATTTTTCCACATAACGTATTAATTTTCATGTAAAATGAAGTATCCTTCCGACAAAAACAAAGATTTGTAGGAAGGAATTTCTATTTTCTTTGCATAATTTTTTTCATTCTTAATTGTTCCACGAAAGGTGCATATGCACATAAACACATAGTCTGGGTTCTGTCCGTGACGACGTGAAATATGATTCGTATAACTACATAATATTTATCCATGTAGCTAAGAACATATACGACAAGTTTTACTGAGCAATCCATTTATCAACACCACACGACAATGAGATTCTTTGTTTTGGGTTGGAAAGGGAGCCATATACTTATCTAGTTTTGACAATATGTATGAGCACCAAGTATATCTCTGTCCTGTTCAATTAGGTGAGGTATCTGATACAACTTTTCCAAAATAAAGTACTCAACATGTAGAATAAAATACACACAAAGTATTCAAAATTTCTGCTTTATTTTCCTCTGGCTTTTATTTCTAGCTGTCTTTTTTTTTTTGGAATTTAAACACAAGTGGCTAGGCAATATGTTTCATCAAAACAGGGATAATGGGTATCACTCAAAATTCTTTCAAATTAATTTGCCTTTCTATCTTTAGATATATACACACATATTCGCGCGTTGTTAACAAATAATATAATCCTACCAATAATTATTATGCATATTCGCGAGCGCGCACGTTGTTTTTTGGCGGTTTGACCCATTGTACAAAATACATGCACCGTGCATTTATGTTGTGTGTGTGTGTCTACTGATTAGATTTATATTATTATAGAAAAATTACATATAAATCTTAATAAAAAATTAATTTATAAATAAGTCTTGCAAATTTGTAAAAATACAACTATGCACCTTGGAACCAGGTTGTAATTTGTCACGGGTGTAAAAAGACGGTACCCCAACTTGCTCAAACCTATTTAATAATAAATTATAAAATTTCAGTTATAAATTATAATATTTCAATTGTAAATCCTTAAAACTCAGTTGTAACATATAAGCCCATAAAAATGTCATTCTCCTCTCGTATTTACAAATTAACCTTGTAACACATCAAATTTTTTTTTTTAAATAATTTAACTCAATCATAGTTGTGTTACAGCCACCCAACACATTTTTATATCAATAATTTCAATATAAAATATTTTATAATTGGCTTCAACTCACACACTATAACATTTCAGATAAATTTTTACCTCCCACATGCCATTAAGCTAAATCACATTTGTCCATCCTTATACTCCCAACAAGTAAAATAAGTAATTTAGTAAATTTTCAACACAAGCCAGTTATTTGGCTTTATAATCATGCTATTTTAACCAATCCAAAGTAAACCTAATATTAAAATTACAGTCATCCAAATTGTACCAAAAATAGAAATAGTTTGAAAGTCATGATTACATTTATATATTCATATAATTGACAATAAATAAAAAGCCCTAATATTGACAATATAACACATTATAAATCATAAATTAAATACCCAAAAGAGACAGTAGATCTATACCACTAAGCCTCTGGGACTCCTCCACGTGTCACTCGTGGCTCTTCTCCTGAAAATTGTTAACCACATAATGAGACTCAAAAGTCCCAGTAACCAAAGCCAATTTATGATAGTGTATACAAACAGTTAAGTGTGTGCTTACTAAATGAGAATTAAAAATAATATAATTCCAACAAATATAAGAAATATTACAATACACACAAACAATCATCCTTATATCCCTCCATTAACCTCGAGCCGTAGTTCTCACTCGGTGCTAAATTACCCGGCCAAAGGTAGATTAGCCCGAGCCCTTACAAACCACCTATTGAGCTCCAATAGGGGCGTACCACGTGGCACATAAATACAACAATAATAGCATTTCTCCCAATACCTCCCACAATAATCAAACAAATTCATAATAATATTGCACAATTATATAATATTACAAAATTTATAATTTTCTTAATAATCACCCAATTAACATGAAGTAACACAAATCATAAATTAAAAGCATGGTTACCTTGTGACTTTTTCAATAAATTATTCCTTAAAATTTCTCTCTCACCACAATCTTCACCAGTAATATAATTTACAAATAACATATTATTTATAAATATTAGTTTTAATTTTTGAAACTAATAAAATAATTCTAATAATAGAATTAAAAATATAACATAATTCCTAATCTCAATCTTAATACAAACCAATGGTTAATACTATCAAGTAAAATTTTTAACTCCTCTTTTAATTATCAATAAACATTAATAATCTAAAAATCAACTTCTAAACTAATTTCTATTATCAAAATTTTCTTTTTATTTCATAAATTCGTACCTAAAATACCCAAAAATTAAAAATTGAGTCTCTAGCTTAGAATCATAATCCTATAACCATAATAATTCATTTCTCATCCCAAATAATCATCTCAACCTCAATAAATCAACATATATTTTCAGATCTAGTTTAGAATTTGATCCATAAGCCACAGATTCAAAGATCATCAATAAATTTATACTCTAGAACATTTATTATACTACTGACAACCTCAAAAATCATATTTATTCAACATAAATTCATCCCTCTTCCAGATCTTAAATTTTCTACCACTACAAACTCAAAAATTAAAGAAGAAGGATGACTAAGAAAAAATTTTAGAACACTTACTTAGTCTTAAAAGCTTAAAATCACACTCTAAATATCCTATTAAAAACTCTTACCTTAAAACCCAGCACCGGTGACTTGGCTCACAGATGCTCTCTCTGCCTCAGCTCACGCACGAAAGAAAGAATGAAGAAATGAAGGAACAATTGAGTTTTTATAAAAATTTAGTGGGTCCCACACATTTTTTTTATTATTTCTTCTTTTCTCTCTCTCCCCTTTTTTTATATTATTATTATATACAATGATTGTTGTGGGCGGCTGAAAGCAATTTTGTTCTTCTTCTTCTCTTCTTTTTTTTTTGCATACCTTTTCCCTTTTTTTTATTATAAAAATAATTTAATAATATTTTTATTTATTTATTTTTTTAATTATTATTTTTTTAAATTTTTTTAATTTTTTTTAGAATTATATCCTAAGTTAGATTTAATAATCATCTCTTACTAATTTTCTTACCTCTAAATATTATTTTTTTAAAATTTCTATTAACTTAAATTAACTATTAAAATTTAAATTAGTATGTTACAAACCTCACAAACATTTCACTGAATAGGTCTGATATTAGAATAATGCGATCTTTTCAAACCCTTGACACTTCAAGAAACTTGGTTGTATTCTTGTATGTTTGAAAGATTTATTTAAATCACTTATTTAAAATTTACATGTCATTTTCTCAATTATTATTAGCGGCATGAACCCTACTTTTTTAAAATTTAACTTTTATAAACAGATTTTTAAATCAAATGTGAAGTGTACTGAATTTTGTACAATATTTTTAAAATAATAAAAAACAGATAATTATTTACTGTAAGTAATCTTTCTTAAATTATAATTTATATTTTCTTTATCCATATGCTAATTACGGATTTAAAAAGACATGACCAAAATGCTTCAAACCCATACTGACACATATCATCAATAAATTTATATAAAATATGTCAAATATATTATTCTTAAGCCATGGCAGCATGACTCAATGCAAATCCATGAAGGACTTGTTTGGATTTCAATTCAATATAGTTAATTAATTAATTAATATAATTAATTTTAATTATATAAATTATCATAAAAATATTATTTTTAAAAATTAAATTACTGATAAAATTATATTCAATATTATTAAATTTTTTAAACTTTATTTAAAAAATAAAATATATTATTTAATTATAAAATTAAATTTATAAATAACCTTCCATAATTTATTTTAAAATATGATTCTCACACAACAATCAATTATTAAATTTTTTGATTGTTTAAATAATATTTGCTAAAATCGATAACAGGCTGGAACAAATCTTACATGGAAAAAAAATCTGTCAACATCATCATTAATTGGTGCTGCCGCAAGATTACTTATGACCCTCCACTTTATGTGTCAGAATTTATGTGCCACCATTTTTTTTATTTTATTTTATTTTTTTTGTTTTTTTGGTTATCCTTTGTTGAGGGCTGCCTGAAACGCAGGCTCTCTCTTCCAAGACATTCACGTCTAACAGAGCGTGTAACCCAGTAGGACCAAGTAAACCAGTCCAACCCAACACTTATTGGGCTCAAATTACAGATTGGGCCCAAGATCATAGTACATGAACAAAACATCCTATGGTATGGCCGAGCAAAATGGAATTCCAAGCATAGAATCTGTTTCACTAAACATTCATGAAATGATAATACACCTGCTTTAGTTAGTTAATAAAAGTGAAGAATAAGGCTCAAGATGGTAACATCCAAAAAGTAAAGAATGGAATAGAATGGCAGCAAGCTAACGGAGAAAGGCTACTTTGCTGATATCCACACCCACAGTCGAATCAGCCTTGAGTAAGGTAAGGGGAAGCATGCGTGAAACCCCAAAACTGCACAAGAAAATCAATGATAATGTAAATAATATACAGTATAGTAGCAATGCACAGCAACACAATGAATATGTCTCCCCTACAATGAGCAAAAGAAAAGCAAAATCGTGTTTCACAAGCTTAAATACAACTTGCACTCCCTAACACATTGTCTTGTTTTTCCCTTGAGTTGGAATTGTTATCTCCTTTTATTGATTGGCACTTGCCATTCTAGACCTCCTCCATATCAAGTTGAGAGGACTTAACAAAGGCTTAGACTAATCCAAATCGAGCATTGTAGAACCCTTTTGGGCAGCAGGCTCTACCACCGAGACCACCGGTGAAACAAAAACACTCTTTTACCTGTTGATCCACGCAGTTAGTGATTGGTTGGAATAATTATTATTTCCATCATGTTGCTCACGTTTCATGCGTACAATGCTTTCTGATTGGTCATATATCTATCTATCGTTTTCGGACCAGCCGACTGGCCGTATCTCAGACTCAAGCACTAATGGATGATAACTCAAGCATAAAAAATTTCACTTCTCAACACTGGTCTAGCAAGAAAAGGGCATCTTAATTGAATCGAGTTTAAATGAAGCAGGGCAGCAGCAGGCATACGTATCAAGTCTTTTCCAAGAAACCGTCACAGAAGACAAGGTCTTCTCTATTTCATGACAAGTGAAAAAACTTACGAGCATACTAAAAGCACAAAGCACACGCAAAACTTTAGGGGAATTTTGTGGGTCAGGAGATGAAAGAAACTTATCAATAAAGAAATCAAGATAACTGAAGTCGAATTTTAAGAATATTACCTCAACATTCTTTAACTCAAACTCTGGACTATGAGCCAGGCACGAGCTTCCAAATGTGTCGCAAGGTCCACTAGTTCCGTTCAACCTATTCATCGCATTCAAGAGAAGAGATTCCATGAGTAGTGTGCAAAACTAAACAAATTTAGAGAAACAGAGAAGCAATAACAAAAAGCTTACAGATCTCCATCCAAGCATAAAGCAAAATTACCACCCCCACCAAGTGCAAGCAAGTCATTCAAACACATGCAGTAGTACCGGTTGGCACCTACATATATTAACATATAGAATCAGAATATTCGCATTACAAAAAAAAAAATTGAAAGGAAGGCCGACCAAAAAGAAGTTGACATTTAGTGCCATTCCTGTTCCATATTAGGCTTTACAAATTATTTTCAGTAAAAGTCATAAATGCATATCCTGGATCTCATGAAACTAACATTGGAAGTTGATAGATATTCAGTAAAAGTTTCATCTTAGTCAAACAGAGATCAACCGCTGATATCTTCCTAAATAATAACATCTACCGATAAAGAACATGAACCTACAGACAAATAAATGAGAACACTTACCAGTTGGCCGAAACAACCTTGGTTCACCATATAATGTAGTAAAAACAAAAGATTGGTTTGTCCCCTATCACAGGAGAAAACAAAATCATTTTTCAATATATAGAAGCGCACCCCAATAAAATTACAAGCCAGCATCATCAAGAAAACAGGTTTGCATACTTGATACTTTCGTTTTGCTGTAGGTTTTAAAGGACAGTCCAGCAACCCACCAAACACGGCACCTTGCTTATCTCCAACAATCTAACAGTTATGCCAAATAATTAACCCCTTTCATCACTTGATTTACTGCTAGTAAATTCCAGATAAACACCACAATCAGAGACATGTATTGAATTCTGAAAATTTGACATACTAGCAATCCGGGACCAGGAAGTTCAGCACTCTTGCGAATTAGTGTACGAAGTGATATTCCATGTTTCAAAGTACTGCCCTTCATTTGAAAGAACCAATAGTTAATATTTTAATGCAATAGAACAATAACGTTTGATGCACATGCTAAGAACTAGAGAGCAAAGTTACCTATAAAGTAAGACCCATTGACACCCTTTAACTATATTGGGTAGACATGACTCAAAAAATTCATACAACTCAGTTGAAATAAAAATAGAGTCATCAGTCAGATTGACCCGGGGCTTCTTCGATGAATTAGGAGTTTGTGCATTTGCTTCTTCAAAAACTTCCGAACTGCAACTAGTCCTCCTGGAGGCCTGATCATCATCTTTAATCTTATCTTTCAAAAAGTTCATGCTTTTATACACTGGACTACAGTCAACATATTCATCCAATGAATCATCTTGAGGCTCAAGATTATTATATGTAACTTGAACTGGTTTAAGATCATATTGCTGGTTACTTGTCTTGGACCCACTGAAACTGACAGAAGGAATAGCGTAGGAAAAATATGAAGACCAAGATCTACCCTCTTTAGAGTAGGAGCTGCCCTACATAAATGAAAACCTCATGTCATATTTTACAGAAAATATATATATATATATATATATATATTTACACACACACACACATAAAGACTAATAAATGAAAGAATGGTACATGACTCATATGATGATGCAGAACTGATAAGCAAAATTCATATGATAATAGAGAACCCATATATGATTTTTCAAATTTATTCATGCAGTGTGGCGGAAAATGAGCTCTAATTAGATTCCCCTTCCCCCTCATTGACTATGAGGTTAAAGTAAAATGTGAGCGCAGAAATTAGAGATATAAAAAGGGAGAAAGAAAAAGGATAAGAACTTGGTAACGCACATACTATTACCTTTATTGCAAATAAATTCAACCTAGGGAGAGGAAAACTCAAGTAACGCATAATAACCACCACAACAAATCTCCGGATAAGATAAGACGGAAGCCATGCCTATATAACCTAAGACCAGTAAGATTGCATATCCTCAGGTTATGAGAGTTTCAAAGAGAAGACACAGGGCCAAAATTTCATCCTGATCTAAAATTCTGCAAAGTCAAAATAAATCTTTTTTTTTTAAATACGAGGCCACGATGAAACTGTGCAGGGAAAAAATCAATTAATGTCAAAGCAAATAATACTTTTGCACTCTAAGGGTGAGTCGACAAAAATTGTGGAGTCCAAATTGTTGTTTGAAACATGATGAGCCAACTAATCCGCATATCTATTTGCTTATCTAAAAATATGATCGAAAGTTATAATCTAGTCTCTCATAACCAAGTCCCTGATCTTATTGATAGTATTTGAGAGAGAGTGGTGCTGAGAGAATTCCCACTGAACCAATGTGAGGGCTTTGGTAGAATCTAAGTAAACATTGACATTAGCAAAATAGCTATTCCAGCAAAGTTTAGGGCCTTCTAGGATACCCATAAGTTCAGCAGCAGTGCTAGGATGATAAACAAGGTATCTGGAAACTTGAAACCTTGTAATATAAAAACCCAACACCAGTGCAAGGAAGACAACACGTGACTTCAGTCAATTTGGATTTTGCACGTAGAGTCAAGGAGAATTTAAGGCCAACTCGGGTAACTCCACAAGGCAATAGACAGTAGATGAATTCTATTTCGAATGAGTCTTCAATTTATTATATGAGGAGTATCTTTGATCAGGTCAATTTTTAATGACATAATATTTGAACTAAAGAGTAAGAGGCCAATAAATCAAACTCGTTAGGGTCCTGAATCAAGATGAAGGTGCTTTTCCTCTAGTCATAAATAGTTCTCACCTAAAAAGTCAAGATGAAAACGACAAGAAACGAAAAACTATTGGTGAAATGAAACAAAAAAATACAGGGTTCACCACATATAACAAAGCTGTAATCGTGACCTGATTCTATTTTCTATTCATCACAACAAAATAAAATATGTTCATCGCTGAGAAAATTAGTTTATTCTCTCTCATATATATTTTCCACAAACCAATAAAATGCTTATCCAAAATTTGGCGGAAGGCCTGGAAAAGGGATACTAAGCAATAGCAAATGCAAAATGCAAGACACGGAAAAAAAAAAAAAAAAAACCCGAGAGGAATATGTAGACTATAACTAGGATTAACCTTTCTCAGCTTAAGAAACAAACAATTCAACCACAGTCCCCACTTAGTGCGAATTACAATCGACATTAATATGTACCACTTATTTACTGAAATCAAGTCACACGGTTGCTGTCTCTTTTATGCATGAAATCCGTGAAATTTAATCCAGACATTCAACCACAGATTCAGGTTTTGGAGAGCCCGGATCTAACTACCGGACAGAGGTGATTGAAGATAGACTTCAATTGTTTAAAACAGGAACAAACAAGAGAATCCAATGCAGATCAGAGAGACAAGATGAAACCCTTTCATGTCATTCGAGGGGGGAAAAGAAGAAGAAGAAGAAGAAGAAGAAGAAGCAATACCTGATGAGGGGTAGACTGCGGAGAATCGGCGAAGAGGCGAGAGAGCTTGTCTGTGACCTTCTCTTTCAAAGTTTGCATCTTGAAGGAGCAGAACTCAGCTATCCCATTAATGATTATGGGTTGAAAGTTAAGAAATATTGGAAGAATAAAAGGCTTGGAATTGGAAGAAAAAGTACCGGTGACAAGGGGGAAGGAAAGCGGAGTGGAAACGTTGGAGACAGCTAACAACGAAAATTGGGAAAAGGAAGATTTGATCAAAGGCTAGATTGGCCGGTGGGACACAGATTTCTCAATGTCATTTCTTCATGAACTGGAATAAAGTTTTGTCGGGTACAGTCGTGTCATCTTATATATCATCTTGTTTCGGGGTTGAAGTTTCTTTCTTTTTTCTTTTTTTTTGGGCCATTTTGGGTTAGGTTATTTTTTATTTGGACAGAGATTTTGGGGTTAGGTTATATATCATGTTTTTCCAACAAAAATATTATATGATGTTTTATATTTGAGCAATTTAAATATGAGTAAGATTTTTGTTTTGGCCAACTATCACATCTTAAAGGAATGATGCAGTCTTCTTGAAAAGGAATGATGTAGAACTATAGGGACACAGGATACTCACTAGAATAGAAAGAGAGAAGGCACCCAAATCGTCTAATAACTGGCATATAATTTATTCAATTTTCTCGTCTCAAGTATATAGATATATGAGTGAATGAGTGTCATGAATCATAAACTATTATTTAAATAATATTATAAATTTTAAACTTTAAAAATAAATATTTTAAACTTTAAACTATTATTTGAATAGTAAATTACTTAGATTTAGTCAAAGACTAGTGTGACGTTAATTTTTTCTCGACAAGTGACATGCCAGCTAGACAGCTAGACTACATAATGATCAATAGTGTATGGATAAACAGTAAGGATAATTTGATCAAAAATTTTGAATTGAGATGAGTTTTTACTCGTTTTAAGAGTCTAAAATCTATAATATTATTTAAGTAATAATTTAGAATTTAAAATGCTCGCTAACCTTAAATATATTAATCATATATTCTCGGTCCATAAAAATATTTACATGCCTTATTATTAACCCTAGTATTAGACACTCTCTTTTATTTTAAATATAAAACATGATTAACTAATTCATAGATATTAAAAAGAATTAGTTAAATTTTATTATTATTTGTATTAGTATTGCATAAAAATGTATTTTTTAAAAAAATTTCTCTCGAGGGTATTAAACTTGGAATATATTTATATTAGGAAGGTCCCTCCTTTTCGTAGAAATTAGCTCCTTTCAGTAGAAATTAGTGACGTAATTACTCTACGATACAATGGAGATATTGATATGGAGAAAATTGATAGACGAAGCTACTGATGTTGAGCTGGAAACTTTGAACCAATTTCAGTGAATATACGTATTGCGTATAATTACATGGGAAATAAATCGCACTATCGACTAAATAGCAAGGACTTGTTTGAATGTAAAAATAATGTTGGATTCAAAATCATAGTTCTAAACAAATCCTATCTAAACACCTCCAATTTTTTCAAGTTTTACTTGCCTTTTGTCATTTGACATGAGCTATTTTTTCTTTATTTAATAATCAATTACTGTTTGAGCATTTTTTATTTTTTTGCATCTTTGTAATTGATTCTGAAAAATTATTCAAACATATTTAATATTTAATTGTCAAAAATCAAAATCAATATTAAAAAAAATTATTCAAACTCGCCCTAAATAGTAGGCTTTCCAATTATAATTTTATAATTTATATTTCGCTCGGTTTAGTAGAATGTCAAACTATAAGACCAACGTTTAAAGTCACAGTCATGGGTTTGAGTTCTCTAAGACCAATCTTCCATGAAAAGCGGAGCGAGTAAAGAAAAAAGAAAAGCATTCTTGTTAACCAGACTAATGTTAGCATCTTATTGCTAACTAGACAAATAACTAATAGTATTTGATTGATTGATTAACAGTGACATGATTGTTATGAACCGTGTTTGACCCATTGAGAGTTTGAAGAAAAATGTTGGGTGAACAAAGATTTAAATTTGAACCAAGTCACCCATTTAAATAGATAAAAGTTGATAGATTTAAATAAAGTTTAAATTTCAATTCATATTTTATTGTAACTTTAAATTTATAATTATTTAAAGTTAGCAATAAGATTATTACTCTCAATCCATACATAAATTTAATTATATAAATTTTAAGCGCCATATTTAAAGTTTTAGAATTAAACTTAACTCTATTAATCCAAACACTGTCTAATAATAATATGAAGTTGTGTGCATTCATTCAGTGATTCAGGCAAGACAAGTTAATAATAATGTATCTCCTTATCGCATCCTGTTCATATGATCTTCTGAATAGATACTCAATACAAGATCTTTTACAAAATTTAATAAAATAAAATATATTTGTGACTTTCATGTGATGGAGTAATCAAGTAATCGTTTGTGAGGGTGACTAATACAAGTTAGCTGTGTAACTGATGGTATTAATACTCGGTCCTGGTTAGAGTCCTCACCACGTGGCTCTGTATATGTTGTTGTTGTATACACCCTGTCATTAACGAAATACAGATCGTGTTCACCTGTTCCATGTTATTTTTCTCTCCTCTTCTCTGAAATCTTTTGCCATCGTTCTCTCTTTTTTCACAGTGAACAATGTCAATCAAAAGATAGCTTTCAAATATAGTAAAAAATTTCCGAAATGGAACTGTTCTAACTAATCTCAAAAGTAACTAACGGGACATCTTATGGAGGGAGCGTAAAATATGCAATGAGATGCGGTATCGATCAACAACTCAGCCAAGCAAGTGAAAAGCGAACACGCATGTACAAAAAATGAGGAGCATTGAAGGATGAGCATGCAGGGGAATAAAATACATGTCCTGCTGTGGTCTTGGCTGCCAATCAACTCTCACTCTCCAGGGAATGGAAGCTTGGGTGGGTTAACTTGTGAATAGGCCTCTCCATTGGTCCAAATTTCTAGCTAACTCAGTTTAGTGATCATTCAGATTAACTTGGGTAATCTGACGAGTTGTTGGGGTTAACTGAGTCTTTTTTTTTTTTTTTGCCAAAACCCCAAAAAACTTTTTTGGGGGGTTTTAAATTTAAAAAAAAAACTAAAAAATAATTTAAAAAATAAATTTAATCTTTGAGTCTTAGCCTTTGAAGAATAGAGGGTCCTCTGAGTCATGAATGCCTGGTGGATGAAACTGTAGAGATGAAACTGTAGATGCTCTATCAATTCTCGATATGAATTATAAAGGTTTAAATCTACTATCAAGTTTCTAATATAAGTATATAACATTATAATTTTGTCAATTTTTTACACATTCATTAATATCAATTCTTGTTTGTTGTGGTTGATGAATATATGAATGGTTTGAAGCCCCTATCTTTGATTGATAATATTGTTAATGGTTATAGTTTTTCTCATTCGACTCTTAATATTTCAATGCTTAGAGATTTGAATGAAATTAATAATAATTTTGGTATTGGTGATTATTAATTTTAAAATTTTTAATTGTTGAAGGATTGTAATTATAAGGAAGAATATTTAAAATGTTATATTTTATTATTATTATACTTTTGAGTGAATATATTTCTATAATTATTATTGCATTTGTACTTTATATTTGAAATTAATATTGAATTTAATTAAATATTTTTATAATTAATATCTTTTGATTTAAATTATATTAATTTAATCATGATTGATTTACTTTTTAAATTGGCTCTCAATTTAATTTTGATTGGATCGCTAACCTATAACTTTGTTACTCTCCCTCTCCCTCTATATATATAATATAAAGTCATTATTTGTGGCGTGGCGTACAGTTAACTTGTACAGAAGAGCAAATTCCAGCACCATCATCTTCATTCATTTCACTGTATTGTTCTGTTTCATTTCATCCACCTAATCCGCTCAACAATACTTTATTCAGTCAATTAATTGATGAGTCCCATGCTGCCCCTAACAACATACTGTCAATATGCTATATTATACGTGCTCCTCATGGCTCATGGCCTCATGCTGTTTCGTATTACACTATATTATACGAAATATTAATTTTTAATATTACTTTGTACTAACTAGGATACAAAAAGAAGGGATGGCCTCATGGGAGACAGTCCCTTCTCAACCAGGTAATAACAAGCTGTCTTTTGCTACAATCTAGTTATCTCCTTTTGCTTCCTTCATCATGCGGGGTGTTCTTTTTTTTATTTTATTTTATTCACAAGTATTTTTTATTATAAATAATTTTATTTAAAACATAATTAAATATTAAATATAGATATCACTCTTAATAAAAATGTAAATATTAATCTGTCAAGTTGTGAAGGATTTATGTCTTGTATTATTTTCTTACGCTAACATGATTAAGCAATACAGCTGGACGGTCTCCCACGGTGGCTATAAAATTTTCAATTAACTGAGACGAGATTTCATGCAACGACTTTAATTAATGTCATTCTAAGTTCTAACCATATTGAAGATATGAGGGTCCGGGATGCTAAAAAGTGGCACGTCTTTCTTGTTTGCCCTAATTAATCCCTTCATCACATGCTTCGTAGAATTTTTAAATTATTATAGGATCAGGGATTCCGACCACTTAAATACGAGAGCACAAATGTGATTGCGGGGCTTTCATGGTCAGACGATGAAATTCAAATTCATGGACGAAGCATTTATAATCTACTACTCGAGTCAAACTACTACTTGTTTGTACAGCATTTATAATCTAATTAATCCCATGTCATGCCCTCCAAAAATCTTCTCCCCATGGCACCAAGGAATATTTTCGCCCCCTTCGTTTTCATTCTCTTCCAACTATTAAATTCAACTTCACAGTTTCCAAAAATTGCTACTTTCATCTTCTGTTTTTACATTTATATCCAGATCAATCGATTAGTGGTACATCCTCCCCAGAACTTCACGAGTACAGAGTAGAGTAGAGCAGACTCTCTCAGCTACAGAGCCGAGTGTTAGGCCATCCAAAGGAATGCGAATCCCAAGGACCACTCCAGAACACTGAGTCACCCCTCTCCTCTCTCCTCTCACCTCTCACCTCTCACCTCTCTCTCGCTCTCTATCTCTCTCGCGCCCACACACACATACGACGCACATACATACCCAAATCCTTTATTTTCTTGGGGGTGCATCCTCATTCGGCAAAAAGAAAGAGCAACATCAATTCTTTTTTCCTCTTTACCAGAGTCCCAGGGATCGCAAGACTCTCCGAACTTGCCATGATTTGATCCCTCCACACCATTTTTACCCAAATGGGTTTTCCTAGAAAAGGACTCTTTTC